TCTCCATTCTTCTTTTCTCAACTTTTCTCTATGTATAAAGAGCTTCATTTATATACACCACAGTTTCTGAAAGTCCAGTAAGAACCCAGAATGGTAAGCTCACCTCCCAGGCCTCAGGGGCCCGTATTTCTATTCCACCTAACCCCAAGATTTGGGAGAATGAACAGTTTGCCTAGTACCATTCATGGCCTGTCCAACCTGAAACCCTTCTCTTATTTAACTTCTTAAAATTTTTCTTCTGTGAAAAAATTCAGTAACTCTCCTCTTTCCCTTATGACTAGATGTTTTCTAGTTCCCCTAGGACATCCTACTTTGGCTCAGCAAACAGAACTGCAAATTATTCTCTTAAAGAAGAGAGGAAGAGGAGAGAGGGAGGAGAAGGAGGAGAAGGAGGAGAAGGAGGAGGAGGAGGAGGAGGAGGAGGAGGAGAAGAGGAATAAGTCCCTGGATCTGACTAGGAAGATGTTCTGAAGGGGAAAAAAAAAAAAAACAAGCATCTCCCAAGTCTACGAGAATGAAAGTAATATCCTGGACTAAGGAAAACCCACCACCGAAATATTCTTTGGAACACCTTTGTTGAAAGGCCCACTACTGGCAAAGTTCCCCGTAAAAAACAGTGCTTTTTTCAAACTGCCAGTAGTTGGCACAGAGCTACAAAGGTATTATTATTTTCCTAATCCTTTTCCATCTCTCCATACGCTGAAACTTATTCTTTTGGCTTTGTTTCTAGGTGTCACGTGAGGGAGAAAATCGTGTTTGTTCAAAGTTCTCTTTCTGACTGTTTTACACTTACGAAATGCCTACTACTAATCAGCACTACACCAGGTATCAAGAAAATGTTTTTTCAGTAAGACGAGGGGAAAATCTGTCCACAAACTCAGCCAACAGGGACAGGACAACAAAAAGGGTGGACAGGGTCTTGAGTGTGTGTGTGAGTGTGTGTGTCTTGATTGTGTGTCGTGTGTGTGTGTGTGTGTGTGTGAGTGTGTGTGTAAAGGGAGCTACTCCCTGGCCACTTCTGTAAGTCCATATCTATTTCTAGTCACCTCATTATTTGGAATTGATAGTGAGAGTCTCAAACTTCTCTGGCTCTCCCATGGCCTCTGACCATCGTTTTTGGTCAGACTTGATCCGGCTGCAGCCTGGGATGCCGCCTCTCCTCCTCCTCCAGCCCCCGGCCCCTGACAGCTCCATGGTGCTTCCTTCCAAGTGTATTGCACAGACAGTGCCACACCGCTGGCAGGGGAATCTCTCTTGAGGACTGATTACACAAAAACATGGGGAAACTTAGAACAATACCAGACTTGGACTAAGCACTCAAGAGGAAGTAACAATAATCAAATAATCACACCATACAGTGTTCCGCCTGCCCACCCCCGCACTGATATTTAACATGGCAAAATGAGGCCTTTTTCCTGTATAGTAATTACCGTTGTTACTAACAAGTACATGGAATGAGTTCTGAGAGTTACAAATAACAAATAAGGTTACAAATGACAGAAAAAACATTTATGGAAATAACTAATATGATTAGCTATCAGTAAGAAAAGTCATAGGAAAAGCACACAGCCAAAAAAAAAAAAAAAACCCAAAAAACAAAAAATCCCCAAAAAACTACCCTAAAAGTTTTCTTCATTACCCCTCTCTAAAAAAAAGGGGGGGGTGTTGTCTGAGGAGGCTCAAATATTTACCTGTGTCTGGGTGCGTTGGAAGAGTGTGAGAGAAGCTTGAAGAAAAATCTGAGAACTCAGGGGATAAATGAGCATTACCTGGGATAACCTCTCCAGTCACACACTGTCACACACTGTCCTCCCGTTGTTCATCGATTTGCTCGAGCGGGCCCAGTAACATTGTCATTTTGAGACTTGTTGTTACTGTGTTTGGCATATTGAATTCATCATGGGTAGCTTGCCAGGCTTTGCAGTGTGGGTGAGATACTCTCAGTAGCTTGCCGGGCTCTCAGAAAGAGGAGGAGAAATCGAACCTGGCTTGGCCAGGTTGACTGTGTGCAAGGCAAACAAATGCCCTACCACTGTGCTATCACTCCAGCCAACCTCTCCAGCATTATTTCCAAATCACTATGAAACTGAGAAGTCCATTAATATAAACAACTTCTATATGTGATGTGAATTTTGGGCTGGAGCACAACGGGTAGGGTGTTTGCCTTGCACACGGCCGACCTGTGTTCGACGTGGCAAGCTCTCCGGGGCATATTTGATATGCCAAAAACAGTAACAACAAGTCTCACAATAGAGACATTACTGGTGCCTGCTCGAGCATATGGATGAGCAACAAGAGGACAGTGCTACAGTGTTCACGATCACGACCATCCTGTTGTTCGTCGATTGCCTCGAGCAGGCCCCAGTAACGTCTCCTTCGTCCTAGCCCTGAGATTTTTTTTTTTAAAGTGCCATATTCAAGGTTCTTTCAGGGTTAGGAGAATGAGACCTATCATTTGTTACTAGTATTTGGCATATTGGGTATACCACGGGGAGTTTGCCAGACTCTGCCGTGTGGGCAGGTTACATTCAGTAGCCTGCCAGTTTGTCCAAAGTAGGAATGAGATGATAAAATGTCGCGCGCCCGCAAATGCGGCCGCGCGCTTCCGGGAGCTGAGTATGATAATCTCTGGATCCTGGCCGTTGTTGGGGTTACACGGCAGTTGGTGGGTGTAACTGTCTAGCTACTGGCAGGTCCAGTCCCAAACCGTGCAGGCTTGGAGATCTCAGCCCCGGGTCCCACACACCTGGGTTCCTCTGCCAGTTCTTTTATGCGTGAGGCTCATCCAAGTGTGTGGAGAGTGGTCCCAGCATGGCCTTGACTGGGGCCCGCAGGTCTTCAGCTGTTGGGCCCTGATGCAGACAGTGAGGCACAGGGTAGGAGACTCTGCCTTGTTCTCTCCCAGGAGCTGAGTGTTAAGGCTACAGTGTTACAGATGTGAATTTTAATCATACCGATGGAAGGGGAGAATAAGAGTGACTGTCACACTGTTTTGGGGGCCAGCCCGTGGTGCTGGGAATGGAGTCCGGTCAGGCACACTGATTCCTGTACTACGACCCCAACTCCTATTTTAGTCAAGTGGTCTTAAAGAGGCTAGATTGAAAGTAGCTGGTACCAGACAGATCCTAAATAAACCTACTCAATGCAGAAAAATAATTTAAAAGCCATAGTGAGAATGTTAACAAAATACACCTTAAATATATGTGCCTAGTTCAGATAACTTATACATAAATTTATAATTTATAACTTTCCAAAGGAATATATAGCCAACTGCTCACCCGAGCTGGCTTCAGAAATTTGCAGAACTTTTTAAGAGCTGACAAATTATCAAAAATTAAGTTATGATGAAGTAAATGAATGGGAGGAAAGTAAAAGAAAAATATGTTCATTTATAAAATTCTATAAGGATCTTTCCAATTTTTTTCTAATAAGTTTAAAAATATTTGAGATAATTGTTAAGAGACCATGATTCCACATTCAAACACCACCACTGTTTCTATCATTCAGTATCTTTTTTATAAATATTTTTTTCTTTTAAGAAATTATCAGGTAATTCAGGTAATCCTCACATTAAAAAATTCTAGGGTAACAATCAAAAGATTATGGTATAGGGCCACATGTGGCATCTATAATGTCTTAAATGCTAGATGGACAAGATGAGCTTTCACTCTTGTTTTGGTTTTGGGGCTACACTCAGCAGTGCTCAGGGCTTTGGGGACCATGGACAGGTGTCAAACCCAGACCTACTGCATACAAAGCATGTGCTCCAGCCCAGTGAGCTGTGTCTCTAGCCCTTTTCTTTTACATTTTTTTTTCTTTTTTGGGTCACACCCGGCGATGCTCAGGGGTTCCTCCCGGCTCATGCACTCAGGAATTGCTCCTGGTGGTGCTCAGAGGACCATATGGGATGCTGGGAATCGAACCTGTGTCAGCCATGTTGGCTGTGTGCAAGGCAAACGCTCTACCTGCTGTGCTATCGCTCCAGCCCCAATTCTTTTACAGTTTTAAAGTGCAAACAATTAAACACATAGCCCAACATATAGGCTATCTGGCCCTTTGGGAAAACTATGTTAGTCCTATTACTCTAGGATACTAGTTATCATAGTCATCTTTGTTTTTTGTTTGTTTTGGGGTCATCTGTCAGTGCTCAAGGCTGATTCCTCACTCTGTGCTCAAGCGTCAGTATTAGCAGGGTTCAAGACCATACTGGGTGCTGGGGATCAAACCTGGGCTGGCCGCATGCAAGGCAAGCAACCTACTCTCTAATCTCCCTAATCTCTCTCACCAGATTAGTCATTTCGTAACAGTGATGAATTCAGAGTAAATCATGCATTTACCATTAATACTAATTACTGAGTAAATTGTTGAGGGTTTTTTTGTTTAGAATACTAGCATAAAATTCAACATATTATAGGACTGTCCTCCAGTTGTTCATCGAATTGCTTGAGCGGGCACCAGTAACATCTCCATTGTGAAACTTGTTGTTACTGTTTTTGGCATATTGAATATGTCACGGTAGCTTGCCAGGGTTGGCCATGTGGGCAAGATACTCTCGGTAGCTTGCTGGGCTATCCGAGAGGGGCAAAGGTATTGAACCCGGGTCGCCCTGGTCGGCTGCATAGGCTGCGTGCAAGGCAAACACCCTACCCGCTGTGCTATCACTCCAGACTATTATGAAAGTTCAAACAGCAATCTCAGCATGAACAACTGGTCTTCAGTTATAACGCCAGCCTGAAGTGGTATTATAGCCTAGATGCAAGTAACCTTCTTCTCTCCTGGGAGTTCAGATGGACTAGTAAGTAAAGCATGCTTTATTTTCTCATATTACACATTCCCCATATTTACTTAGCTAAAGAAATAAAATAAATCTCCCTTGATTTCTAAGAAAGCTATCCTAGATGATATACATATCTCAAAATCTCTTAACGTTTTATAATTACATTTTCTTTAAGAAAGTTCTCTTAAAGTTTTCAAAAGAAAAAAAAAACTCAATAACTCACTCCAGAGCAGGTCTCAGAACTCTGACTTTTAATGCTTCTAATATTCGATTTAACTCCACAAATGGTTCTTTCTGACTTGGGTCTACAGAAAGGCCAGATTCCTGAAAAACAACAAAACAACAGACACAACTTTGTTAACAGTAATCAGAGAAACAAAATAACCTTCGATAAAAGCATAACCTAAAGATAAAAATCATTTCCTTTAAAGACTGATTTCTATGGCAGAGATGGGTGACTGGACCCTCGTATCAATTTTTCACCCCTTCCCCACAATAATAATCCCACCCCCCATCCCAAATCAGCTGAGTAAACAACTATATGGAGAAAAGCTGGGTTTAACCCTGCAAGAGAAAAATTCTGGTTCATGCAAGATGTACTTTTTGTCTTCCTGAAATGGAAACCACGAGGACAGGGAGAACAGGCCTGAAAAGAGCCTGGACTTCCACGACCCCAGGGAGCAGAGCTATTATGTATACTTAGGATGACCACGCTCGTTTAAGCTTCACTTCTGCCTAAGTCAAGGATACTTAGGGCCTTTATTACCTGTACTCAAACTGAATTGTAAATGACACAATTTAGTTTACGGAACACAGAAAACTCCCAGGAAGTGCAAAGAAAAGGTCTGAACTGTCACATTTGTCTCAACAGTTTCCAATTTTACAAGGCTTAGATTAGAGGTTTATTTTACACTGGTTTTTCATAGATTAATTCTTAGAGCCTTCATTTTTCCATGTGAAAACTATAGTAGCACATGGTAGCGACAAATAAGACACACATTTGGGACTGAATCCCCGCTTAGTAGGGCTCACTGAGCACCTCCCTGGCCCTGGGAAAGTGACCTCTCCAGAATGCTGACCCATCACCTCCGCAACGGAGCGGGAACTTTCCCCTGCCAAGGGCTGAGGTGAGGCAGAAAGGCACAGCTGGACCTGTGGTAAGCACGCAGCACAACACACCTGCCGCTATTAGATCTTCGTGTCCTGAGATCAAACTGTGCTGAGAGCCTTTGCTTTTGTGTTGAATAGAAATAAAAGGCAAAATGTTGCCCATCTGAAATAACACTTTATCTTGAAATTTAACTGAATAAAAAAAACAATTCTGTAAGCTGGGCAAAACCAGAACAAACTTTCCATGGCCCTTCCTTCTTCTCTAATAACTTTCCCTCCCTATCACAAGAGGAAAATGAGACAGTAGACAGTAGAATCGTTTCAGATATCTTGTGTTGATGACCTGGAACCAATGTTCTGGGGCAGAAATAATAACCTGAGTAACAAGTTCCAGGACTATAATTTTCACCTATACTAAACTAAAATTAAAAAATTCCTCGTAAAAATAGGTCACTCTGGTACAGACTGAAGTATGAAAAAATTGATCTTAAGTTCGCAAAAGACCTCCAAGGAGTCTGTTCCCTTGTTTCCGTTCCATCCTCCCGCTGTTGGCACACGGTTACCTGGCAGAGCTCCTCGGCCACATCCAGCATTCCTTGGCGAAAGAAGTGTTCCACCATCACCTCGTTGAGAAGCCTCTGGCTGTCTGCCTGCCAGCAGCCGTCTATTCCCACACTGCTAATGTCAGAGTCAAAATTCTGGGGGGAAAACAAAACAAACAAAAAATAAAACAAAGAAAGAAAATGAGTAACATGAGTCAGCTATGAAGCTCACTATGCATGTGATGTTTTCACTCTTTAAGAGTGGCCCGTCTCACTGAAAGGCCCCTGGTGCACACCCAATTCTAATTCTCTACAGCCCATGACAACAGCTAGTTTTTCCGTGATCTTTTTCTAAGACTCGGTATACACATTATTAATGAAAGAGAAAACAGGCAGACTTTTAAAAGAGGATTTTTGATTTAATGATTTCTGTGAAAAAACTGCCAAGCAATGATGAAGCAGTATGTTCAGAGGTGTACTGAAATATCTGTAAAAACACATTCAATTGCTCCTGAGGGGAAGGGGGAAGATGGGGGAGAGGGAGGAGATAGAGAGAGACAAGGAGAGAGAGAGAAAGAGAGGGAGAGAGAAAGAGAGAGAGAGAGAGAGAGAGAGAGAGAGAGAGAGAGAGAGAGAGAGAGCGCGCGCATGCGCAAGCCCATTTTAACACAAGATTAAATACATGGCACATCCCAACAACTGCAGAGTCAAAGCAGGGGCCTAGAGATGAGAGAACGGCCAAGGTCATTAGGGCTGGGCTTATAAAATTGAGTAAGATACTGAAGGAAGACCAAGTGCTATGGACTAAAAACCTGTGTATCCCCAAACTTCATATACTAAAGTCCTACTTCCCAGTGAAACTGTACTTGGGCAATGTCTGGTGAAGAGATAAAGATGAAATGAAGTCCTAAGGATGTCCGTGATTAATGGTATAGGCAACCTTTTAGGAGAAGGAAATACCAGGGAGGAGGGATAGATTAGCTAATGCCTTGTTCTTGGACTTTCCAGTCTCCAGAACTGTGAGAAAATTCATTGTTATGGCAGCCTTCAGACATGACACACTACATGAAGATACAGGGAGAAGATTTTGAAACATGGAAAGAAGTCTTTTAAAAACTAACCCTGGGCTGGAGTGATAGCACAGTGGGTAGGGCGTTTGCTTGCATACAGATGACCCGGGTTCAATTCCCAGCATCCCATACAGTCCCCCGAGCATTGGCAGGAGTAATTCCTGAGTGCAGAGCCAGGAGTGGCCCCTGTGAGTCGCTGGGTGTGACCCATAAAGCAGGTGGGGGCGGGGGAGGGTACGGGGACACCTAACCCTGATGACACTATGATTCTCCCCAGAATGTGGGAAAACAAATGTCTATTTAAGCCACCACCCAATCTGTATTCTCTTATTAGAAAAGTGTTACGCTGCCGTACCACTAATGAATGCACAGCTGGTACTATTCTAATTCTTCATAATTAAAAATACAGCTTAATTCTTTTACAAAATGATGACCCCATTGTTGTTTGGAAGGTAAAAAACAAAATAAAATGAAACATGGCCAGAGCAACAGTATAGGAGAGTGTTTGCCTTGTTCAATCCCTAGCCCCACATAGGGACCCCTGAGCTTCTCTTCACCCCCTTACTCCCCCCACCCAACCAAGTGACCCCTAAGCACAGAGCCAGGAATAAGCCCAGGGCACAGCCAGGTGTGCCCCTCAAACAAAAACAAATTTGAAAAATAGAAAGAGGGGCTGGAGCAATAGCACAGCGGGTAGGGCGTTTGCCTTGCACGTAGCTGACCTAGATTAGATTCCCAGCATCCCATATGGTCCCCCAAGCACCACCAGGAGTAATTCCCGAGTGCATGAACCAGTAGTAACTCCTGTGCATCACTGGGTGTGAACCAAAAAGAAAAAAAAAATAAATAAAAATAAATAAAAAATAGAAAGAGAATTCAAAAACTTGAGAATGCTTAAGGAAAACATAGAATTTATCACTAGAGATTGATAAATAGGAAGTATGCCACTAAATTTAAATGTACTACATACAGATGAGGTAAAGTTTACAACGAAGCTCACCCTCGGTTCACCACCTCCAAAGTGCCCACAAACACCACTATCCCCCTCCGAGTCCCCTCCAGTCCCCCCTTATCTAGGGCTCCGTAATCCAGTACCCAGAGTTTATTAACAACTGATATTATCTAGATTCTTATTTTGTTTCCCTATATACCACAAATGAGCAAAATGCCTTTTAAAATTAAATTTTTTAAAAACTATGTATGTTGAGGGTTTCTGTTCTGGGCAAGATTAAGCAAATTCCACCCTCCCTTCCACTAACCACGGCCATGGTACTGGGTCTAGACAAAGGGAGAAGCTACTGCAGGTCCCTGAAAGCGGAGAGTAGGTAGAAAGGAGTGGGAAGATCACAGGACTGCTGATGGGTTTACTATTTTTCTCTTTCCCATCTCTTTCACCAGGAAAAGGTCATGTAGGACGCAGACAGAATGCCAGGAAAAGTTGCTCTAACCTGAGAATCAGGAACAAATCTTCCCGCCATGCTAGAGAAATTCTGTGCTTTTTTTTTTTTTATCCCTCAGCTTTTTCATCTGTAGCTCACAGCACGTTAGGTATATTAGTTTTCTTTCTACTGCAATTGAAAACTGCACAATTAGGATCTCACAGCTGTGGAAGTCAGAAGTTCAAGAGGCTCAGGATGTTTCTTGGCTCCAGATTCCCAATATTAAGGAATCAGGGATCTGGGTCTTCTGGGGGGTAGGGGGAGACCCAGCGGCTCGATCCAGCTGCAGGACTGGGGTCTCTATTTCTTTCCTGGCTGTCAGATGGGGGCTGGTTCTCAGCCTCTAGAGACCATCTACACTCTTAGCCCATGCCCCAACCCCATCTTCAAGAATAACACAGCACTAAGGTTCCTCTCATATCCTGAGTCTGTCTTTTCCTCCTGCCAGCCTACTCCACTGTTAAGCGCTCATGCTGGTGAATCCAAGTAACTTCCCTACAGGTGAGTGTCACTGAGTGACAGGGCCATGCTCTGAGAAATTCACTGTCGTTTTCATCATTCAGAAATATGCCACAGAGTACGCTCACCAAAAAATCCGGGCAGTGCACTTCCTAGTTTTAGAACCGTGGGGCAAAGTTCTAGAACTAGGACCCATATGGCATCAGGGAACCAAATATGAGGGTGATGAAAAAACTGGCAACAAGGAAAGGTTTCTAAATGCTCAACAGTCAAAAACTAAAATCAAAATCCTACGTATAATGAATCCAAGAGATTTCTGGCAGCATGGAGGAGAAAGGAGGAGTCATGAATGGAAAAGGCTTTTGGCTTTCTTTGCGGGGCGGGCATTGATTCTGGGACACTCCTGGCTGTGCTCAGGGAACTATACGCCGTGACAGGGATTAAAAATGGGGTCAGCCATATGCAAGGCAAGCTTCTTGCCCTCTGTACTGACTCTCCAGCCCAGGAGCAGCCTATTCCACACTACCTACCAGGAACACTGTCATGTCTGTAGTCTCCAGTTTGATATAAAGTTGCTAGGTGAAAAAGGACTTTGTCAATTGCCTAGTAATTTTAAAGAGGTTACAAGACACTTGTAAAGGTCCTTCAAAGCAGCATCCACAGCAGTGTTGGAGTAAACAACCAGGGAACAAGAATGCTTTGGGACTCTGCCTACCAAAGAAGGCACCCCAGAAGCCTGAAGGGGACTCTGCTCCCACCAACATGGCAAGGGGTGGCCCCAAGAAGAAAGGAAAAAAGCCCATGATGGGAACTTTTCTCACTTGGCTCATGGACACAGTCATGGTAAAAATGAACATAAAAGCAGGACAAATTCAGTTCCTGCGTTCTGGCAAGATGACCAAAGAGACAGCTACCCAGGCATGAAAGAGGAACTCAGAAAAGTGATGCCTTCAAGCTATGAACTCACTTTCAGGTGGCACATGTAGATCTGATCCTAAACATGTAGACTCTGATCCTAAAAAGTCAAATACCAGGCGATGAAAAAGGGAACAAAGGACAGCGCTGGTATCTAGATCCAGAAAGAAGACTGCGTGTAAGGCGTGGGAATGCCTTTCAAAACAAAGCAACACTGAAAACACAACTCTGAGAAGGCTGGTAACTGGTCGCCAGCTGCCCTGCGAAACAAAAGCACTGATTCTCTCCATAGAATGTAAACAAGACCCTGAGTCTCATAACAACCATGGTCCAGGGAGCAGTCCAAGATCATATGGCATACAGAAGATGAGGAAAACCTAAGGTAACACAAGATGTTCAAGAGACATTAATGCTGAGATTTCAGAGATGCTGGAACTGTCAGGAGTTTAGGGCTGTTATCAAAATCTGCTCAAGATGGAAATACAAACAGTGTTGTAAGAAAAGACAAGGGGGATGGGGGGAGACGGAAAATAAAAAAGAAGAAACAGAAAATTAAAAACTCATTCAGTAGCAAAATGCCAGAATACGTATGATGCAAAAAGTCAGAGAAAAGAAATAGGAAGCGTCTCATCTGAATAACAGAGGGGGGATGAAAGGATCAGTGCTTCAGGGATCTGGGAAAAACAAAGGCCAAGTGCCTCAAGGGAAGTGGGAAAGAACCAGTCCTGTTACACTCAAGTCAGAGGAATACCAGAGTGTGTGCCACAGGAAAACATTTGAAGATTATTTCCCAAATATGGCAAAGGAGATAATCCCACAAATCCAAGAAATTCAGTACAGACCCTAAAAGGATTAGCACCTCAGTGCTAAAGCTATGGCTTTTACACACATACTGAACAGACCATCCCATGAACTGAAAAGGACATATACTGAAAGAAATCAATAGGCAGACGGCTTTCAATCAAACGGCTGAGAACTTAAAAGCAAAAATTACTGAAAAGCAACCACAGAAAAAAGACAATCTGCTCACAGGGGAATGAAAGTCCAAATGACTACAGATTTCTAAATGGAAACCATGGAGTTTCCACCGCCCCATCCCCCCCCCCAAAAAAAAGTGGTACAGCATTCTTTTAGGCTTGGAAGAAAAAATTCTTTTGAAAATTTCTCTCTTACAGGGCACCCCAAACTAAGTAAGTCATCAGGGAAATGGTCCATGCCAGAATCCCACTCACAGCCTCACTGCCTCCTCAGTCACTGAGTCCTCTTCCATGCC